ATTCTTTCGTCCGATAACGTTCCGTTATTACGACCGCGCCAATGTCGTGATATTATATAATATAAATGCCAGTAGTTATCTCGGTCGATAAAGTCTCTGCCGGGTTATTAAGTCGTCAAATTGTTCGCGTCCCGTACTAGTGACTGGTGCGGGACGCGCGTTCGGCCGTCGCATTCGATTCGTTAAACATAATTATTCATAAGTTTAAAAAAAATAAAAAATACGCTTCCTGATATCCAATTTCCTTGATTACTCGTGAATAAACACGATTCGTCGAAAATTATAGGCGCCTCACGGGTTTTCGTTAGTATTTATTTACTTTATGTAATTTCCGATGTGATAAATCGTGAACTGCAGCAATGTAAAGAGGTCGAATTTTTTTTTTCCGACCGACCAGATAAATCGAAAAATAAAATACGATTAGTATTGCACACAGAGATTGTAATACCTGCGAAAACCTGACACCTGAAACAACATATTTTTCCATTTAATATTTATGTATTTATGTATTTTTTTTTTTTTTTTGTCAGTAATTATTATTACTGTGCCTCTGCGTTACAGTTAACGTATTTTCAGGTTTTTTATTTTAGACGGGGGAATTAAAAAATTACAGTTTTCTTACACGATTTAATAGAAAAATACAAAACAGACGTTCGGTAAACATTTGGCGGTTAATATTTTTATTCAAGTATGGTCATTTATTTTTTAAACTTTTACGAATTCGAATAATTTTTTTAATCGCATTTTATTACGCGATACTTACTAATGGAAAAAAAAAAATCCTCGTCATCATAGGAATGTTCTGGCTAACTACTGACTAAATATTATAATAGATTATGAACAAAAATAATATACATAGGTACTTGTAAAATAAATGTCTGTACATAACACTAAATACAGATTCTAATCGCTAAAGTTTTCCTCAAAATCTGTTTAAAAAAACGGCTATTTTGAATATTTTTTTGAAGAGTATATTAAAATTTAAAATTTATTTTGTTTTAAGTTCCTCCGTCTAAACATAAAAACCTAACAACATTTTAACCGTGACGCAGAGGCAAACTACTTCTTAAAAAAGCAAATTTTATACATTGAATAGAACAAGTGTTTTCACGTGTCGAATCTTCGTTTTAAATCCTGTATATATTAGGTAGTGTTTAAAAAGTACAAAATAAAAAGAAAAACGGATGTCGAAAACCACAATTACTTTCTCAAATACCTAACCTGACAATGACTTCCCGTGATTATAGATTTTAATAATAATATTTAACCTCAATTTTTGCGTTCGCTTTGACAGTACTTACCTACGATAAATTATTGACGTTTTCGCAATTTTTCGTCGACGGCATTTTCGCTATCGAGTAGGTTTGATTTACGATGGCGTTTAAACGGTTCGAAGTAAAAATTTTTTTTTAACTAAAACTCAATCTTCAATTCTTGTCGCGTATACCTTTTAAAACGATTTAAAATCATCAAACGGTTTTCAAAAATTGAAACGCATGTAGTTTAATAAATTAAAACCGTTTTAAACGAAAAAACGATTCTGACCGGAGTTCAGTTGATAGTGTTGCTTTGTCAATAATATATATATATTATTTTATGATAAAATAATTCAATAGGAATTATATATTTTTTTCTACATTTGTGTAATATTGTATCTATTTTCCCGTTTTTTCTACTTTTTTCCGGTTTTTTCCATTTATTGGGAAAACTCCTGGGAAAATCGAAAAATAACCACTTTAGAGTACCTTCCAAATTAGTATTCCGGTTAGAAAAAGTGTTATCATTGTAAATCGGAGCAAAATTGCTGATAGAATAGTCGTCGACAGAAAAAAAAAAAAATAAACATCATTTAAAACCATAGATTTTTTCGCTCCACTCTGAATCTCGAAAAAGTTCTAATTTGATGTAAAAGTTAGGTAAATGGGTAAAAAACACATATCAAGCAGGTGCGTGATTTTGGGAAAGTTTTAACGACGTTTGGGTTTGGCGATTATTTCCTCTTCGCGACCAACAGAAGTTAAAATAAAAAATAAAAACAAAACAGTTTATTTTATTCAGGCCGCTGTAATAAGGTGTTTCTATTAGCGGTTAAAGTGAAAATGGACAGAGCGGAACGGAGTCCCCCTTCATATTTAAGATAAAATCATCAGTCTCCTTTAGTTTAAGTCCAGGGTAACCCTTTAGTCGTTGTCACCGAGATATTTTTAACGACATTTAACAAATCAGTTTTACTTAACCAATTGTTTAATGTCTATTGGACTACGCGTTATTGTAGTATAATATTCGAGGGAGTTGCGGTTTAATTTTAAACTCTATTAGTACAAACATTTTATGAACAAAATGTGTGCGAGAGAAAAATCTTGTTGGAAATCTTGTGTCCGCGAAAAGTTTCCTGGAGGTTTTGTCGGTTCAGTTAGGGTGGCGTGCCTCAATTTTTGGCGAATATAGTTCCCCGTAAACCTAACCTCAGACCCTCAAGATTTTCCCGCATTAACCGCTGGTTTGCATGGCGAACGATTAAAACCGTTTGATTTGAAAACGGTCTATAACCGTCGTGTACGTAAACGAACGTGCATCAGTGAAGTATAACGTTAACAGCCGTTGGGAACGAAACGATTCGTGTAATATAAGGCGATCGCGCAACTTATAATCGTATATAGTCGCGAAATCTAGCGGTAGCGCTTAACAACGCGCGTAAGTTGTACTTTTCTCCGGAAGAAGGACGTGTGTAATTTATTTTGCGGGAAAATTCTCCGACAACACAATGCACATTTTCTGTGCGTATTCCCGTTTTCGTAAACAATCGTTTTTAGCCCGAGAAACGCGCGGATAGCTAAAATTGTTAAGTAGCCGTGGCTTCGGTTTCATTGCCCGGGAATTAACAACGTATAAGTGGAACTGACGAGTTTTCTTTTTGTTCCCGTACTTTCATATATTTAGCCTGCGGGTTTCCTCCGTCGTCTGTGTGCGCCCCACGCGTTCTCGTCCGTTTTCCTCACTCCCGCAGTGCGCGGGCACGACGGCCCGATCTGACGTGACGCCCGAAATCCCTCCGGCGCCGAACGGAGTCGTGGGGCGCCCGCGGAAAACCCGAAACAGTGTCCGGGCGGTTAGGTCAGGTTAGGTTAGGTTAGGTTCGGTCAGGACGACGCGCGAGGTTTTCCGCGAAAAGAGAAAGACGGCGACGTTCGGGAATGCCGACGACGGCGGGCGCTGTACTGTCCCAAAACCGATTCAACAACGGCCCGCGTTATTAGACACCTCATTACGTGCCGCGGACGGCCGTATAATAAATAATTTTGTTTTTTTCTTTTAAATTACTATAATTGACTCCGCAATTGGAAAGTCGGTTTCGTCGCGTTATCCAACAGATTCGACGCGCCCGCGTATATAAACGCGTCCCGTATTCCGGGCACGGATCATTTTCGCTCCGTCGGTCGTTTTGGTTTTCCGTCGCCTCAGCAGTAGCCGTCACGAACGAGCAACAATAACGACGCCGAGCGCGAGAAGTCCAACATCGCCGACATGAACACCAAGGTATAAATCGTTTTAGAATTATGCTGACCCAGTAGTGTGTATCGGTTTTACAACGGTGTTTGTTTAATTTTTTTTTTCTTTTAATCTGTGTACAACTTTTCTATCGGCAGTTTTTCTCCGATTTTCAAGTGTAGCGCTCTTTCCGAAAGGAAACCGGATCGATTAAAAATTAGGAAAAACGCGAAAATAGGTACAATTTTAAGCAGAAATTATTAAAGAAAACATATTATGGCATTTATTATATTGCTGACAAAGTAACATTATAAACCGAATTCCGCTCAGAATCGTTTTTCGTTAGCAATGGTTGATCGTTGCATATACATTACATTTCTCCTCTATCTTACCTACTTCTCACCTGCAACAGTGTCCGCATCTTTTTTATTACTCTCGGAACTCACGAATCGCCTCTTAAATTCAGGTAGATGATTTTTTTTCACTCGAATCGCTTCTCACTGCACACTTAGATTATTAATTAATGTATCGATAGTTGACGTGCATTATAGATTATTATATTGATTTCCGTAATGTTCGAAAATAAAATTTGTATTATTTATAATAATATATTTTACATATTGTATTGCACAGACAGATTAATTTGTCGAATGTAATAATCTTATCGATAACTGATTATCAGTAGATTAGTTGACTATCTAATTGTTTTCTTTATTGACTTTTAATACGTGAAATTTTGATACCGTACATATACACGTATTTGCTTTTTTTGACATCGACTTATTATCTAATACCGTGTCCTAATGTCTACTATGTGTGACATGTGTAATAATGTCGAGTACCTGATGCCTAAGTATAATTGTTTTTATTTTTGAAAAAAATCGAAATCGATTCCGGTACAAGGTGGCCACTGCCTGAGGTATTATCGAGTAACATTTTTAAAAAAAAATTCACGGGAGGCAATTCGACAATCAGATGGAAGGCGATTCGTGTGCGCCCCTTTTTCCATTTCACCTCTAATCCGTATCTCCATGCCCGCGGCGTATTTAAGGGGGAGTTTAAGGGAATGCATATCCCCACCCCCTCAATCTTTTTTTTAGTTTTCATTATCCATATAGTTACCTATTTTTACTTACAAGGAAATCGCAATTTTTCTTAGGTATCCTGTGACATTTTTAGTTTGTGTTGTATGTAATTTTATCTTTTATGTTTTACTTTCTCCGTCGCTCAAACACGTTATGAGGAGCTCGTCCAAAAACACTATTTTTATTTTACGGGGAAAAAAGGTAATTCGACCGAATCATGACGCCCGTTTTTTTAGCCATAACACACATAATACAATTTGACATGATTCCCAAATTCAACATTCCCCTCCATGGCGACATCGTATAATATGCGCCACTGTTCTGACGATTGGTTTTAAAATTAATTTTGTTGAACACTTACGAATTCAGATTATACTTACCACGGTCTGCGTCGTAATACTCGTGGAGGTCAGCTCGTTCGGGCAAATGGGAAACCGGTACATTCAGAGGAGTCCGATCCAAGAGTTCGCGATGCCGGATGGATTCGACCTGCAGCAGCAGCAGCAGCAGCAACAGCAGCAGCAGCCAGGAATCAAATATTCCGCGGCTTATATGCAAGCGGCGTACGCCGCCCAGAACGGCCAGGGATATAATAGAAATTTAGGATGGAACGGCGGCGGCGGTTACCAGGGTGGACATAATGTTTTCAACCCGTACCAGAAGCTCGGTTACGGTTACCAAAATCCGACCGGGTACAACGGGCAACATCCCGTCATGGGATTCGCGGACGGCGGCGGAGGAGGTCACCATCAGTTGTTCGGTTTACCTCAACAGCCGGTCCACCATTTCGTCGGTAACAAGAGGATTAGAATATAATAATTTGTTATTAATATTATAATTGATATGGGATATTGTACGCAATTATGATAGTTTCAGTAAAAATATAATAATTTAAGACCTCGCGATACGATATAATAATGTAATATTATAAACAGTACGCTACAAAATATAATTAGTATAATAACGCCAAACAAAAGATTAAATAAGTTACAAAAGTATAATGTAAGTATATTTCGATGATGGTTTTCCAATGGTAAAATTTTGATTTCGTATTCCGAGAACGTTATAAATGCAAATAATCTCGGCAGTTTAAAATGTGTATTCTCCCTCCCCACTTTTATTTGCAAATTTTATTGTTTCCGATGAAGATTCGGCTATTGAAATTTACGATCCATTTATTGCGAACCGTCGGTTTTCTCGTAGGATTTTAAGTGTATTTGATTTCTTTTCCCCCACCCCTGCCCCCCAAATTGTTATGGAATCGTGTGAGCTATATTTTTTACACAGTTTTCGATTTTTTACCCCGACTCCTTATAACGTAAATAAGCATACGCTGTTGATTTTCAAATAGGAACTACCCTCTCCGGTTTTAGAAACAAATCATCGAAGAGGGAATATGTTTGTCTACATTTTCTGTGAACTGTGTGTAACGCTCGGATTTGACGTTTACGTGTTATATTTATAACAGTTTAAAATTTGAACCGGGAGAGTAGGGAACGGTAAAACTACTTCATTATCCGTTTTTAGATTAAAAAAAAAAAAAATCGATAACTCTTCCCTACTACTCCAGTGTAAATTTTAACCTGTTGCAATTCACAAACTGTAAATTCGATATTGGCGTTATGCATATCGAAATGCCTACGAAAATATTTCCTGTTCGGTAAACTGTGTTTAAACATTTTTTTTTTTTTTCCTATTTGGTTCCTATTTGAAAATCACAAGCGTATAGTAATTTTAATACACAAGAGATAGAAAATAAAAATAGTGTTAAAATACAGCGAAAACCTAAAGAATTCGAAATCACTTAAATCCTCCGAGAAAATCACCGGTTCGCGATTAGTGGATCGTCCTGTATATTGTAATCGGTGAATTCCGTAGGTCGGGTCCCGCGATGGAAATCCTTTACCGGTTGGGTCCCGGGTTTTTCCGCGGATAGTAAACTATTACATTAAAATTGGGTCTCAGTCTCGTTGGATTAAGAAGGAAAACGTCTTGTATTACTTGTGAAAGTTCGGATCTGTGTCTATAGTGTACCCGCAGACATCTGGGACCGTGTACTGCGTTACCACCCGAATTAATCTGGGGACCCAACTAGTGTTCCACCTTCGAAAATCACTAAAATCGGGAACTAAACTTGGATGCGGCCGTCGTATAGTACGCTTCACGTTCGGATGACTAAATCAGTTTCTTCATAACGTCCTCATAGACTCGATTCTTTTTTCTCCTGTCCTTGTGTACTGTACACACCGCTCTCGGCGGCTTTCTGGGGCTTCCTGGAGAATCGAACTGCTTTTTTTCGATTTGAGCCCGTGCTACCGGTTTCTTCGTGATTCAGATCGCAAACCTTCACCACGAACCCGTCTTCGCTCGGCAATCTGACGTTTATCGTGCCCGCAGATTGTTCGACGAACAGCACGGGCGCGTCGTCCGTCAAACGATCCACCGCGTTCCGGGACCATTTCAGTCTCTCAAGGGAAATCTGACGGCCGTCCGACACGGAATTCCTGAACCCGTGCAAATACAAATCCCGACATTTTTTCCTGAACGCCTTGTGATGGTAAATGAGTATCAACGGCACGAACACGTCGAACAGGATCGGCAACTTCGACAGGTAACCGTCCAAGAGGTCTTCCGGCACCTCGTTTTCGGCCCAGGGATTGTCACGGGGATTCCCGTACAGGTAAATGCACGACGATACGAGACCGGGCGTGACGAGAACGGTGTACGACGCGAAAATTAATTTCGACGGAGCCGGATCCGTTCGGTTTTTCACCGCCTTTGCCGCCACGGGCGTCTGCTGCAACGACACGTTGACCGGTTTGAGGAGTGACACCAACACGAAATAAAACGATATCGACCACGGTATCATAAAACTGAAGACGATCAACAGCGACGGGTAAAACCATCCGGTAGTGTTTGAAACGAATCCGCATCGACCCCTGGAACAGAAAAAAAAAAAAATACAAATCAAAACCGATTTTCGTTAACGTAATAACCGTAAATTGTATTAGGGGTACACATATAGTTGATATGATTGTTTAATTCTCTCGAAATCGAGTTCGGTGTACATTCGTCACCCTATACAGGATATCTCGCGAAAATCTAACAAATGCAATAATTTTTATGATTTTTTTGTGTTTTTTTACAAATTAATAAAATCACTAAAGCTTTGCCCCCGTGATTCCTCTGTTTTGTAATAGACTGCCGCGGATGGTCGGTTAATAGGCAGGAATACGATTTTATGGCATTCGCTAATTGAGGGGCTCGGAACGATTATCGGATAACTCCGGTTTTTTGAAATATTGTTCAAGATGAATAAAAAAATTGTTTTTTTTTTTTCCACGGCATAAAATATTTCAAAACATTTTTTAACACCTTTTAATTCAATTAATAGTGTCAGAAAATAACAAACACAATTGGTGTTTTCATCGGTTCATTATATCTTTTAATGATTCTAATCAGAGTCGAGTTGACATGGAGCTATCTGGGTTTTCGCTCCGAAATGTTTTTTTTTTTTTTTCTGTAAGTACACATAAAATATTTGTTTTCGAAAAAATTACAGTTTATTTTTAACCCAAGCGTTTTTTTGTGCATTTCTTACATCAAATCTATAGACTATGTTTACGTTGCGATTTTGTATTCCCGAACTTTAAATGTGTGATAAAATCAAAAAACGTACGAAATAATTGTAATGCAAATGTGTATTCTCGTCAAATTGACAGTATAAAAACAGTATACAATTATATATTGATTTGATGACCGGTATACGTTCGATTTGTTGATGAAATTAAGACAGGAAAAAAAAAAATGCACGATATTCGTCTCTTTAGTAAATTAATGTTGCGACGTTGATATTATGAGATATTATTATTTTAATATCAATGGCGTGAAAAGAATAGCATATAATTTGTCTGAGTTTATTATTATATAGTATCGATTAATGTCGGCACTGTAGATCAGGGATGGCAAATCCATTGCGCGCGTGCCCGGGATGGCACGCGGTAAATTAAAATATTCATATTATATTTTCATTTTTAATAATACAATTATAACACCGCAATTTCACACATTTTTTTTTATTGCAATATATCTACGTCTATTATTATAGTTTTTTTTTTTTTATAATTTAATGGCATGCTCGAAAAAAAAACCAGTTATTTTTAGCACGTAGCGTCAGAATAATTTGCCACCCCTGTTCATGATTCAATTGTATTTCAATTTGATATCGTTTTAAAAACTATGGACTAAAATTTAAACTTGGTGTTTTTAAAAAAAAAAACTTTCCCCGTCGTTGTGCATTTGTGACTACTTAATAATTGTGTTTATACATTTTTTACTGGGATTTGTCTGTCGTGCGTATTATTTCCAATGTTTTTTGTAAATATTGTTAACAGAAGAAGAATAAAAACGATTTTCTTGTTCGCTATTTTTTACGTTCATTCGACGCTTTAATGTCAAGTATCCATTTAGATCGTGTCGTTATGACGACGTTACACGTGCATTAATTGTTATTTCTGTCTTACAAACACGAGATATAGTAAAAACATGCTTGCGCAGACTACACAGAACTCGTTTAGTTTTGGGTTTAGAGTAAAAGCACCCACTACGAAATTCTGGAAGGCAAGACGTTGCGTTTTTTCGAACAAGTAAATTTTTTTTTTTTTTTTTTATAAATGTTTTAGCAAATTAAAAAGAAACGTTGAAAACGACGTTATTTATAAACGGTGAATTGACTGTTACGTTTAAATAAAATGAAAAAAAAAACGCAACGTCTCGCCCTCCGGAATATTGTTCTGTTTTGACTTTATAATAGGTGTTTTCACTCTAGAACCGAAATTAAGCGTGCACACGGAATGGTCTGCGTAAGCGTGTTTCAACTGTACCGCGCGGTCGTAAGACGGAAACGACAAATGGGCGTAACACGTTTTCGCTAAAAATGGACATTTCCCATTTCCACCGACACTGGTTTCTATCAAATGCGAAAAATGACCGAATTATGACTTATTACGAAAATGTAATAACTGGAAGGTAACATAATATTGCGTGTAATAAAACAATACCTATAGGTACTAAATGTATGTTGTTTTAAATTTCGGGTACGATTTTGTGAAAAGTATATTTTAATATTTAAAAAAAAAACATATATCAACTAATTGCATATAAGCATAACTTGGCGCGTTGTTCTAATATGCATAGGTAGCCAAGGTATACCGCACAATCATATCTATTATTGTAAATTTGAAAATTGTTTTAATAAATTATAACATTCTCTACATCAGACAATATACATGTTGAATGAATACTATACGATACGCCAGGGATGACCAAATAATATTTTTGAAGGGCCACATTGGGAATTTGGACATTTTTCGAGAGCTACACGAATTCCAAGTACATATTTTCAACATATAATAGGACATGGCATTATTAAAAAAATTGAAAGCAATGAGAATGTAATTGGCGTTGTTATTTATATTTTATATTTGCTATTGTTTGTAAACATTAAGAACATAATTAATATTACAAATAATTGAAACAATGTAAAATAAAAATGAATTGTATCTGAATATGATAAAAATAGAAAATTTTCAGTGAAATAAATGACAAATGTTACTCGAAAACGAGAAATCGCGATTCTGAAATCTCGTATTATATTTTCGTTTTTCCCTACTCGTCTACGGGCCGTATGCGGCTCCCTGTTACAACATCATATCGTTCTTTCAAACAAAATTTAACATTTTCAAACTTATATATTAATATATTGTATATCACAATAACATACATATGTCGGGTCGCGTGAACAATAATCACTAAACACTTATTGAATCAACGGCGAGCTAAATAATACGATTTCAGTGGAAACGAGTATTGGTGGTGCGGAAAAGAAGGAGGTACACCTGCGATGGAAACGGGTAATGGTGGAAAAGGGAAAGGTCGACTTTCGGCGGAAACGGGTACCGCGCCAACAAATGCCCGCGTACCGTCCTCGGCGACGAATATCTGTGTTTGTCTTACACACTCGAGATGTAGGGATTTAGACGTAGTGCCGATTGATCTGGTGAATCGATTAGAATTCTGAAATCAGATTTGAATTTTTCGTGCGGTCGACTCTCCCGTTTTTTTGATTTACAATTTTAGTTACTCGGAAAAATTAAAACATTCCATTTTTATCAATTATACCTTTATTAGTATGGCTTTTTTTTTTTTAAAAAAAAAAGTTTAAGGATGTAAAGGCAGAATTCGTACCGTTTCACTGGATCAATCGGTACGCCGGAATAAAAACACGTCTAAACCCCCGTATCTCACGTGCGTGAGACAAAGACAGAAACTCGTCGCGTCCAATCCCCTCGGTCGCATAACACGCGATTACTCTCGGCGCTACGAGATCCGAGCCCCGGCAACGGGTCAACCTAATCGGTTTGTCGACAACATCAGCAGGGCCGTATTAAGGGGGAACAACGCATTGAGGGGGGAGCAAACATAAACACGACGCCCCTAATTCAGTATACACCATTTTTCACAAGTAAATAACCCAACAAATTTTATATTGTACTCACAGAACGACTACCCATACGCTTACCCGTCCGGTGTTGCTGCGCATCAGCAAATTATCTAACACGTATTGTAATTTACAATAGATACAAATACATTTTTAGATAGCGACTTTGTTAATTTCAAACCCACAGTACATCTCTGAACGTGATTGACTCCCAGTATGATGGAATTTCGTTTGTTGATTAATCGGCTCACATTGCGAACATTGATCCGCGATTTTTCAAATACTCAATGTTTTTATATCACCGCCTTCCGACAACGTGCACAATTGAAATTGAGTAAACGGCGCGTTAAGAAGCGTGAAAACGCGGCTCCGGTCGACCGCAGGCGAATATCGTTCAAATGGGTTGCGTACGATGAGCCCGCATCGTGAAACGGCGGACGCAAACAAGGATATTGTCATTCGGGGCGCCATCGACACGTTCGGAACAAAACGAAGAAACTCGCAGTTCTAGTTTACCGATACCGAGTTTGATTAGATTATTTGATTTTCTATTTTTTTCCTACATACTTATTAAAATATCTGTCAATCAACTGGGCACATCTATAACAGTACAAACTTAACGCGTCCGTTTACATTTATATGCGGAAAATCACGTTAAATCTTTATTATCCTTATATTCGAGCATTTTTTTTTTTTACTTCGACTCTCCCTGCGATTTTACCCACGGGGGCGCCCATGACCGTTGGTAAACGAGGTCTACCAGACCACAAGAGCATTCTCTCCTCTCCCAGTGAATACCCAATTGTCCGAATATCAGAATTCATAACGGTTTTAGATAATCCGACAAGTGACATCGTAAATCCGTGAACTAAACAAATTGCCGTCTATACGACCGAACGGTTTATTTCATTACGAAACGGCGTTGTCGGATTACATTTCGCCGCTCTTGCCGCCCGCTCCTTTCGCCGCCCCCGCGTCCCCCTCCCCCGAAAATCGGCCCGTATCGCAGTGGCCAGCGCCGAGAAGGCCGCGTTCGAAGGGTCGTCGGTCCCGGCCCGTGTAGCGCGCAACACGAACGCGCGGCAGGTGCCCCGGGGTCGTTATTGTTTTCGCTACAATAATATTATGGCGTCTCCGACGGCGGCGGCGGCGGGGTTGTCGTCCGATTAACCGTCCGCGCGGCGGCTCCGTTGAATTTTAATCGGTGGATGGGGTGGAGGGGGCGGGCGGGTTTCGCGATGTTTCTATGGAAATGAGAGTATCGATTGTGCACGGTAAACGCCGCGTGCAACGCGACGCGATACGCGCGCCCGGTCCGCCCGGACGGACACCCTGTAAACGTTGTCCGCGCCGATTCCCCGAATCCCCGGTGTCCCCGCGGTCGTCGGCATTAATCACGGGCGAACGCGCCGTCACGATTTGATACAAATCGCGCTCGCGGCCGAACCGACCGGAACCCCCGGGCAGAAACGCGCGTCGCGTTTTCGATTCCGAACCGGGCGGGGAACGCAATGGTTTTTGTACAATGACGTTTATTTATTTTTATTTTTATTACGACCAAGTTTTCCACCAGCCGTTTCGCTACGTTTTACAACGATAGTAATTTTCCGGGAGGCAAATCTGATTGGGGCGGTACGCTCTTTTGATTTTCCCAGGAGTTTTCCCGGCAAATGGGGAAAACGTGGGGAAACCGGGGGGGACGCGGGTGACGCAGGCACAACACTAAACGGATATTATTAAAGAAAACGGTTAATGCACGAGTAATCATTTCACCATAATATGATACATTGTGATCGTAATTTATATCGTTGACGAAGCAACACAATCGGCTGAACTCTGTTCAAAATCGGTTTTTTCGTCAGCAACGGTCAATCGTCGCTTGCGGACGTACACTGAATTCCCGTCCGTATCCCACCTTCTCGACTGCCCACCTACAACAGCGGCTGCGCCCGGCCGTCCCCGTTATCCTAGGACAGCTTTTACGACCTGTTGTACGAACGTTGTACCGAATTTCCGTGCAGCATAACAAAAATCGTACACCATAATGTAAACAGAGTTTCCGTGTTTACGCACCTGGACGGAAAGTATCGGGTGGAAAACAGTAACGTGGGCGCCAGTATGACGTACGTGTACGCGGAAGGGGCGGCCCACAGGGCGGCGGCGGCGGGCAGGGCCAGCTCGTCGCAGTCGGACCAGCGGACGAACACGTTGGCGGCCGCGAGGCCGGCGAACGTGACGAGCTCGACGACGGACAGGGCCACCGCGACGGTGGCCGCGCCGCGGCACACGGCCGACCCACCGCCGCCGCCGACGCCGCCGGCCAACAGTTCGCCGGTGGTGATAAAGTGGCCGACCGCGGCGTCCATGGCGCACTGCAGACACAGGGCGGACACCAGCACGGCGTACGGCGACCGGAGCCGGTCGGTCGTCACGATGCCCGTCAACACCATCACGTTGGACGCGATGGCCACGGACGACAGGGTCAAGTAAGCGGCTGCGAACGGCACGGACGACGGGCGCCACGGCGACCCGTCGCCGGCCGCCTTGGCCGCCTCGCCGCCGTCGTCGTCCGGCATTATGGACAGCGTCCCGTTCGGATGGGCGTACACCGTTTTCACGTCCATGTCGTCGTCACCGTCGCCGCCGCCACCGTTGCCTGTAAACACAATCGGTTGTATAATAATTTGGGCGGTCGATATGGAGTGGGGGGGGGAGCGGTCGAGTGTGTTCAAGTGTCGAATCACGGAAGTGAGGAGAGGGTCGCTCTCACTTCAGCGATCACTTGATTTCAATCGCTTCGGCGTGACAACATCGCGCGACGCGCACGACACGGATACCAATGTAAAACGCGTTAACAACACGATTTTTTTTTCCTGCACGAAATCGTACGAAAAAAACTATGCACACAATTCTGTCGATGTTTCAAATCGGAATTCGAAAGCGGCAGCGCTGGCGAAACGGGCAGAGAAAAAGGAAATATGTTAGAGGGTTATCGACGTCGATGTTTTTCGTCCGGGACATAAATTCGCGAGTCGTCATCTAGGCGGTGGCCCGTAGGTACCCGCCCGGTTGGACGTCTAAAAACGTCTAAAGATGTCGACGATCTGCCCAGTCAGCACCTGGGTATTTGTACGCGAGATAAAATTTTTTTCATACGCATTTCGCTAAGTACATAAATTCAAAACTTTTTTTTTAACAAGACATTTGTAAACGTATCTCTGTTTATAATAATACGGTTATTTAAAAATGTCTGTTTACGAGACATATAAATAAAATTGTTCGTGTCTAGTCGTTATTTTTATTTTCCCCCGAATGAACTGCGCGGTTGTTTTAGGTTTTTTTTCCCCTCGCGAGATTTAAACAAACGACGGGGTTTTGTTATGAACAAAAAAAAAAACTATCACGGTACGCTGTTCAAAAAGTCATGATGTGCACGTGCATACGGTCGTTAACTGCAGTAATCACGTGCGCCCATAATCATCGTCGGTCGTATGGACAGCTGCCGGGGATCTATTTCGATTCGTTTACACGCTGATGAATTATTCAGACGAAATTTGTATACTTTCGCTCGAAACGGCAACCCGCGAACGGTTTTTTTTCCTGCTCGTTAACCGATTTTCTTCGCCGCAATGCGCCTCGACCCCAAATTAAAAAAAACCGCTATTCGCGCGTCGGGGTATTTTTTTTTTAATTATTATTATTTATTTTTTTTTTTTCGTAGTGAATATCCATCGCGCGTGCACGTCCCCCTCTCTTGAAATTACAAAAAAAAAAAAATCCCGCCAGCAGATTAGACCGCACCGCACTCGACCCTCGACTTTTGGACCTTCTCCGTTTCTCCGGTTATACCCGTGCGGCCCGTCGGTCAGTGCATTTCCCTGCGCGTAAAATATATTACTTTGTTACACAATCCATGCATCTACGCGGACAATGCAATCGTTTACCGTTTTGGTTTTCCGTTGACGCACAGCGAGCAAAATCGTACACGCAACCGGGTGTCCGACGGACTTTACCGCGTATATTATGGTCGATCGGACTCCTCGATAGAAAAAAAAAAAAAAAAAAAAAGGGAGAGGTTAAACGTAAGTCGGTTCGCGTCCGCTTGTATTGTGCACGCCGGGCGCGCGCGCGCGCTGTCACGCGGACGGCAATCCGAAAATTCGAAATCAACTCGCAACCGGGTCACAATAACAAACCGCTGTTGTGTCCGTACACATCATTGTCTCGGCGACGTAAAAATTAAAACGAAATTCGAAAGAAAAAATAAAAATAAAAAAAATAGCCGTTTATCGCGTTTATGCAAACCGTGCCGTAAAAGCCAAAAGCCGCGGTCGCACGGTTGTTAACGCGTTGTTCGCTATCGTAACCAGGCGGTGGCGGTTAACGGCCTCGGGTGGTAAGTATGACATTCAACAGGAACAATTGTTGTATTGAACTAAAACGGTTGTGTCGATGAGTGTTTGCTATATATTTGCGCGAGGACTGTTGGTTAGTGGGCCATTGGCTGGGCGGGCGGATTGTGTGCGTTCCAAACCAGCGGCGACGACCGACTACGGCCCGCGATAATTTATTTATCGGCGTCACAACGTGTCAAATCAAAACCGTAAAGAGAAAATGACTTCAAATGGGAAAAAGCGAAACCCCGAAATTTAATGTAACATTTTTAATTTTTATTTAAGAACTATTGGCGAAAATCGTAAACATATACAACCGAACTCCGTTCAGAATCGTTTTTCGTTAGCAAAGATTAATCGTCGCGTACAGATATACATTGAATTCCTATCTATATCCTACCTTTCCAACTTCTCAACTACAACAGTGGCCCACCCATCGTGCAAAGCACGTTCATCTTTTTTATATTTTCATTCATTAACAAGTAATTAATTAACGGTTAAAATTAAAAGAAATCAAACCGAATTCAAACGCGCGTTTCTTCATGACTAAATAAAAAACATAAAAAAAATTTAAAAAGGGATACTGCTGATGAACGTGCCACTGTGGTTAGTGGGAAGATAGGAAAGTATAGAATACATAAAGTTGTTTAATTTATATTTGTAAGCAACAATATTAAATATTGCCAACGAAAAGCGATTCTGAACGAAGTTTGTTCCAACATGATTTGAAAGGTTGTCATATTTACGATGTTCGTCAAAACTTGATGTTAAAATTTTAATAAAAAAAAAAATACTATATCATGCTCGATTTTTTTTTTTTTTACCACTCAGTACGATTTATAACGAGCCTCTTGTTAAATGTTCAAGTAATTCTGTTTATTCGAATAATTTTTTTCAATAGAGTACCTACCAAATAAAAAATATATACATAAAAAACACGTCACACTCATCTTTTGTTCAATTCGCTCCTTACCGAATTTAAAACATTCCACTAATAGTAGATATATTCTCTTTTCATAAAATTTATAATAGGTCCTTTTGCTGTTAGTTCAATTAAAAAGTCGCAATTTTTTAGTTGAAGTGCTATGTGTGGTTGCTGCTATATTATAAGACAGACAGAGGAAATAAATTACGCGTATTATTGTACCCCTAAAGCACAATGCGAAAATTCATTTTTTTTTTTTAATCTGCTTTTTGTTCCCCGCGGCTAGTAATTTCGTAAGAGATTCGTTTTCACGGAAATGTATTTATTTTCATTTTTTGGTTATAGTTCGTACGTGAATAGAATTTTAAAACATTATGACTAGTAGACGAAAACGGAAAATCAGCTATAATATTATAATAATAATCTATGCTCTTATCGCATTGTAATATATTGAAGGTATTGTTATACGAGTAAGTAGCGTAGATAATATTACGTATTTCTAATGCAAATTTTCGGTAATTTTAGTCATTGACGTACACACGGGAAAAGATTAGTGAGATAAATGTCCTTTAACCTAAATTATAAGTTTTTTATCTACCCACTGTAGAACTTCCTATGATTTTTAAATTCAACATTTTTTTTTACCGTCATTTTAAGTTCCCTCGGACGCTATGCGTCGTGTTGCCATGTAATGCAATGCGGTGACGTATCCAGATTTCTTTTAGGGGGGGAGGTTGTAAATAATTTACAAAACGTACACATATTGATATAAATCGTTTATAAAAGATGATTCTGAGAAAATGTCCTGATGGTTTTCAAATCCAGATGCGTTCGGCTCGAAAACTGTTTTTGTATCTCATTGTACGTCCTTATATTTTAACGGAATAAAATCAAAGTTGCGAAACGTAATTATCGAACTATCGCGAAATCAACTGACACACGAAGCACGCGCGATAGTTGATAGTTCCTATCGTGTGGCCGATGCGAAAATGATAGTAATATCACCGTGTGTATAAAAACGTAGTACACACGATCGTACGATTTTACTGTCGTGCTGCACTTTCACAGACGTTACTATCGAAATTCACTTAAATATATCGAGAGAGCACCCCCCCCCCCACCATCCTAGACAGTTATATTATATGTGTAGTTGTATTAATATGAGTCGATAATGATTATGAATCGACGTTCGAATTGCGGATCATTACGATAGTCGAAAATGTTTATCGCCCCATTGCTATTGTAATCTTATCGGTATTTTTTATTTAGTGTTTATTTTTCAAAATTAGTATGAACAATTTGGGTCAACTCCCTACAGAAAAAAAAAAAAAAATCCCGAAAATTCTATATCCGCCACTGATCACTCTGCTACATCATCGCGTATGGACGCCGTCTCCGTGAAAGGTATGGTGACTACCGCGGTAACCGTCGCGTGCGCCAGCGTGCTTGAGACAAATAAATAATAGGTGTGCATCGAACTGTAATGTCAAACGTTATCACTGTTAATTGTTTGTATGATAATGTACAATATCCGTACGAATCGGCCTCAATTGTTATGCATTATTGTAATTACACAGTTAATAGGCGAAACCGGATGCGTTTATCGTGATACAGCGTTGAATAATGTAACGGCCGGTAGGTGATTTCGTGGCCGTGGTTTGGATGGCGTGGATTTACGCGGCAAATCTATTAAAACCGAACGACGGATAATATCGAAACGGAATTCTCGTCGAAACCGATTCGAAACCTCATTTAATTCAGTAACGAAATTCAAATGACCGCGAAATAGTTACGGTTATATTAACGGTATTATCGGACGTTACACAACACATTCGATCTGATAATTAAATTGCGCGATTTCCGCACAATAGCGTAATATATTATTACGCGGACATTTAATTTCGCACTCATTTTAACATGGTATAAAAAAAGGACGTCGTCGTCGTTTTTTTTTTTTTTTTTTTATTTTTTATTTTTTTTTTCAAAGTTAAACTATTATTTACGTATAAGCGTATTATGCTCTAAACGGTCGTAAAAATATTTTCGGGTCACGTTAATTTTCGGTTGTTTTTTTCGTTTTCCTGTGGCCTTCGTCCAATACGTCATATATCTGTATAGCATACTGACCCATTAGTTTCTACCCTTTTTCACACGCGATATATTTAATAATCGCTTTTAGGGACTCCACCACCCTCCCACTATTCCAGAAATTAGTTCGCATACACATTACTGTATATAGTGCATATAGTATAATACACCCAAAATCTATCGACCAAAATAATGTCACTTAACGCACTCAGTGTTTAACTTTAATGATATTCTGAAAATTGCATTACACAATATACTGTATTATGTTATATTAGTACCCGGATGTTGTTGCAGTAACAACGAAAAAAAAAACTATGAATAATAAAAAAACAACTGGAAAATCTTTAAAACTTATCGAAATGCTTTCCGCGATAACCGAGTTTCATTATCGCAGTCATATTATTATACTGAAACCAGAAACGGAACAGTTTTGAATACAATTATATTTAACAATTATTTGGCACATTCTGCAGTTCGACTTTAGTTTTTTAATAATGTAATCGTTGAAAAATGCATACAAAATAATATGTGAAATTTCGCAAACGCAATCGAATTAGAAAAAGGCCGAAAATCGGAAGATAAGTGCGTTACGTATTATTTTTACTAGTTATTCCACTAAACGAATAACAGTTACTTAAGCATTTAATTCAATCAGCATGTAAAAATTTAACAACCCGAGCACCTCCCACTCCTTACATACTATTATGACTGACGTCGAAACGATTCCCAAACGTCAAACTCTTCGATAAACGCGCGCAGAAACTGCCAAACCGGAATGTTTTAACGATTTAACAGAGAAAATCAATTTCGTTTCGCGCCGTTTTGGTATTATCATATTTTGATATTTTCAAAATAGCCGCATACGTCGAACGGATGAGGATCTAATCCATTACGAAAGGAACATGTAAATTATTGTTGCCGAAATGCATAAGGGATATTTGTTCGAAAACTTTTTTGCTTTTCTCGCGATGGTTGCTCCGGTTTTACATTTCAATAGAAATCGCACAGTCGGGTTTTGAATAAACGAGCAGGTAAAAACAAGATACGGTTCGGACCCTATTCGTATAATATTTCGATACCCTAGTAGGTAAGCATTTCCATCAGGTATTTTCAGGTGTAACGTCTTGTTCGTCAATCATCGTGCTACTACAGCTACATTATTATGTACTTTTTCCGGTTTACCTTTATCCATCGCGTATGCGTTTTCGACCTTTTGTAAACACTAAAGTAGGTAAAAACTCTGAGTTTAGATCGCCGTAAAATTTGAATTCACAATATCCGTACTCCTTCGGATTTTCTATTTCGCAGACCCAGTTCGAGCCAGACGCAAATACAAGATTTATCAATTTGTATGCGATTCACTGTATATATACGTTTTTAATTTGCCCGACTATATACTGCTATAATATTACAGGACGGAGGAGTAATGGTCTCGGACACGAGTTTCATACAGGACCCAAGGTTCGGACAAGTAATGATGAAAACGCCATAAAATCTAATATTAGTTGAAAACCACGTGGACAGAGAATGTTAAAAAAGCTAGAGGAGAACAAGAATTATAAGACAAGACTACTACAGCTGCGTAATTTCGATTGGTGGCATTTTACTACGTCGGATAAAAACGAATGGCCATACATAATAATAATATAGTGTAACATTCTTGAAATGAGTCGAGCTCGAAACAGTAACATGTTTACTGTGTAGATAAATATGTATATTTAGAGGTACACACTGCATATTTTTATCATTATTTGTTGATTTTTCGTGTTCGTGGAAAAAAATTATAAAACGGCGTATGGGCACGCGTTGGAATTGCGATTTTAAACAATGTCCAACCAAGTATAAAAATAATACAACGCTCTTGTAAGTGTATTATATTTATGTTTTTGAATTTCGAATTCTCTTCGTAAACTACAGTAAACCATTTTTAAAAACTTTAAATTGATTTTTCTTTATAGACTCGCACTATTTTCGAGTTTTCGCCGACTCGCGCAATATATCATAATATTAATATTATGTTTTCTCGGTCTAATATTTGCTAACCCGCGGTAAACAACAAATACGAGAGTTATTTTTAAAATAGGTAACATAACGCGGCAATGGAAATAATTCCTGCACGGTCGTGTGTTTACCGCTCGTGTTCGCATATTGGAATTTATCGGAGTAAACGGGTGGGTTAGTCAATTTCGCCAATAATAAACTAGGTAGAGAGTAAACCGACATCATATTTGTTTTTCGAACTTTACGGCACGCAAAAGTGCTACGTCAGACAAACACTGCACGTGTGTACGGAACAACGACACAGTCGGAGAGACTTACAATAATGGACTAACCGAGTTCTGTTTTTTTTTTTTTAATACTCGAGACTATGAATGCTTACATCGAGTACACGTAGCGCCGCCGTGCCGCAGAATCGTATTTTAATTTTTTCACGGCGTTTAAAGCGATGTAACTGTTGGCCTGCCGCGGTACTTTATTTGACAAATTTGTCCACATTCCCAACAGTCGATTTTAAAATGTCGACGAAAAAATAAAACGTGACAGCGAATGACGCAATACAACGTGTAATGTTCAACATAACATGTATATAATCATTTATATTTGTAAAAGTGTAACTAAAAGATTTAGTCTTACCGTCGAGTAGATAGGTACTCGGTATTCAGTAAATAAAAGTAGTTCATTGTAATGAAAATATAATACTAAGAGCGTTCGTCATTCGGGAAATATGCACACGTTTTTTCGCAGTCAATGATATGATAGTACGGTTTTACAACTAAAATTCAGACGACGGTCGGCACTCCTACGATGTCACCGAAGTGAACGCCGCCCGAGCCCAAACAAAATCGTTAGCAAATAAAATGGGTCCCGTTAACGAATTTACGATTAGCAGATCACAAATTATTCGTCGGTCCCCACGCGTAAGTCTCTTAAATCAAAAACTAAGGATATTTTTCTTGATGTCTCGAACGTCTAGCCCTTGCGAAAAATCTTCCGGACGCTCAATCTGTCGAAAACTCCGTACGCAACAAGTACGCACTACCGTTCCAACACCGCGGGCATTTAAAATAATATTTTATTTTTAATTGATTGATCTCGTCACCATTGTCGGACCCACGACACCGAATCCCACCAAAAACCAGGAGGGATCTAAATAACACAATTTTTAAGCTGAACATTCCTTATTCTCCTTTTATTTCTCTTATCTATCCTGACATTATTATCACTCTTATTTCAATTTTGTACTGCGCCACCACCTCTGCCGCTATCTTGAGTTATTGCACAGAGTACCAAATTTATTTTAAAGTTATTTATTTTTTGTGTTATTACAAACGGTTTTATATTTTGTTCGTTTATGGCCGATTGCCTTATTGGTTACGGGAGAAGGAAAGCTGCAGGAGACATGACTAATACGCAAAAACCTTTTCAGTTTATCGAGCGCGTTTTTGTAAAAGGTCCCATTCAAAATTATTGCACCGGACTTTAAATGCCTACTAAGGATAATACCCTTTTATAGAGATTGGCTACCGACTGTTTCATAAGAGTCGTGTATAGGCAATTTCTTGTTTTGAACCGTACATTTATCGAAAACTCGGTTTTATCCTTTAGTATTTAAAGTAGAATAAGTCAGAAACTTATCGTTCAAAATTCGATTTTAATACGTCACCATTTTCGGAAAAATCATCTGACAGACATTAAAACATGCAGATTCTCATTTGAAAAACCATACTCGGTGTCGCCACAGGATACTCATTAAATGTCGTAAAAAATCTAAATATGCGAAAATAGCGTCTTTGACTACACTTAAAAATTTCAAAAATCTGGACTCGAATTTATATATAATTTAGCCATAAAAATGGGATGACAGTGCTTAATAAATCATCCTGAACACGACTTTCCTACTTCTCCCCAACGGGTTATACAATCGTTTTCACCGAGTACCGACAGTTAAAAACGGGACGTTCAGAAGGCGTACTTTCCAGTGCACCTGCAACAAGGACGGTACACAATAATGCAATGGAATTTTTTTATATTTTTTTTTTTCGTATTCATCGAACAACGATTATTATATTCTTATAATACCTATTATATTTTGGTTCATCCGCCCGACCTTTTATACCTAGTATTGTATACCACACGCGGTCATTGTTTGGTATACCTGTCCTATACAGCGATTTACCAGCGATCGTTTTCCTCGTGTGGCCGCCTACATCACAAAAGCGGTCCCTTATTATAATATAATCTGACGCAGTTTTTGTATCCATTGAATAATATTATATTATCGTAATCCGTATTCATATAGGTACCGTGTGTGCCATAGCAATAACATTATAATAATGCCACTAATGCTATATTTTTTTTTTCTCAAAAACATTTTCGCCTATAATACGTACCCGAACGGTTTTTTTTTTTTTTTAGATCGCTGTCGGTTCAATGACCATTTTATTATAAATCATCTGCAGCAAGCCCCGATTGCGAATTGTTTCGTGTACGGGTTTTTTTTTTTTTTCGGAATAAAAACATTCTTTTTTTTATTATTTTTTACGTTTTCCAGTTTATCGTCCGTAATTAATATTTTAATACACTGCGGCTTTATATATAATATCGCACGTATCCCAAAGGGGTGCGCCGGCGACCTTTTTTTTTTTTTCATACCCGTTTTCATACCCTTGCGGTCCGCAGACCCGTCATCGTATTTTATACTCCGGCTTTTAATCGAGGGCAACTTATTATGTTTAAATGATTATTCACCGTTGTACGTGATGGCAATTTCGGGAAGGTAATTATTAGTTTATATTCATGAACACATAATACTGCATGCATTGATAAATGATTGAATGTGATAAAGAATTCTGAGCTGAGCTCGGTAAACTGATAAGGTTTTTATATAATACTGATGGTCGTTTTTTCTCCCGTTTGTTGAAGGTTTTTTTTTTTAATTTTCTAGAAATGCTGTTGGTAACTATTACTGTAGACATTTATTTTTTCTAAAAAAATACTGCCGAGCGAAATATCTGCAATTTTTTAATGTACGATGTGACTAATTTGAACCTAACCTAATCTAAAAAAAACATATTCTAGTAACTTTTCTTCACTACACTATCTGAATCGAATACATAAAAAATTATTTTCCTGTAAAATATTGGAATATTCTTATGTACAGAGTTGGGCCGGATTATAATAATAAAAAAAAACTCGTGCACGGTTTTTACCGAGAAAATGAGACCTTTCTTCTTTTTTTTTGATTTTCACAAGTTTCAATATTTTTATATATATAAACGATGCTACATAATAAAATAATATTATCCAACCCAGTTTTTCATCGCTGTAATAATAATAACTTCGATAACATTTATTCTAGACTCAAAATATCTACTGTTTATTTTTATTTTTTCTTTCGTTACGAACATTTATAGTATACTATGTTTAAACTATTTTTCTCGTAATTCAAAAACAAAAAAAATTTACCTATACATGCATAAATATTATACTATTGTAACTTTTCGATGCTATGCGTATCTACGTGAGATTGTGAATTTATAAAACTCGATAATTTATTTTCATGCATTTTTATTGACCTTTACAGTCGTTAAATCGTATTTTTGAATTACTACAATACTATATACTTGCATTTCTTACGGGATTGTTCGAATTTTTCGTTTCGAACGGAATAAGATTAATACTATCTCGTAGTAGACATATTTTGAATATTCCTATACATTTTCGTCTTGACGGAATCTCATTTTGTATTGAATTCGAATTATATTCCGAAATCATTGTATTACACAGCAAGCCCAAATCTCAAGTGCAGCTGCGGGTCCCTTGGTCCCAAAACTACTTCCACGAACATATTTCCCATTATTCCTCGGGGGAATCACAAACAATGTTACCATTTACCACCCGCGGGGAGCAGAGGACGTAAAGATGAATCCAAAAATTATTATTTCATGTAGAATTATTATTTATTTTTTGGCTTTATACCTACATAATATAAGATGCGTACATAATACACGAGCAGCCGCAAAGAAATATTACCAAATTCGATAAAATATGTTACAAAAAAAAAAAAACCCGCTAAATTTTTTAAAATCTAGTCACGACTAAATCGAACATTTATAATTTTTTAATTTTAAAAAATTGCTATCATGAACTACAATAACAATAAATTTTAGGTAAATATTTACTAAATATAAC